GGCCACTCGCTTGAGTCTGACTTAAAGGCCCTTCGTTTCTCTCATCCTTTTATAGTTGATACTTCCCTCATCTATCCCCACCCCAGAGGTCCGCCTCTCAAATCGTCGCTCAAGTGGCTTACTCAGAAGTACATCAATCGCGAGATCCAGAAAGGAGGCGCCAACGGACACAACCCTATTGAGGATGCTCGCGCTTGTCTTGATCTTGTCAGACAAAAGTGCGAGAAGGGTAAGATGTGGGGCGCGTCCGACTCTCAAGGCGAGAATCTGTTTCGCCGGCTTGCCAGGGCTGGAACTGCATACAAGGCGCAGGGCGGCGAGGCAGGCGGTCTAGTCACTGGCAAGACAAGTGCCGCCGTGGACTGGGGTAACCCATCCAAGGGTCCTGGTGCTGGAGCGACCTACCAAATTGGTTGCAAATCTGACGCAGAGGTCGTCAACGGCGTCATTCGTGCTGTCAAGGGCGATCCAGACGGGCTGCAAATCCCAGGCGGTGGCGTCGACTTTGTTTGGGGTCGGCTGCGAGAGCTTGAGGCGTTGCAAGGCTGGTGGAATAAGAACCGGGTGGAGAGTGTTAGCAGTGATGGCGGCCCTCCTGCCTTCGATACAATGCTTGACGAAAAGCTCGGCAAATCGCCTCTTGAGCAGTGCTTAGCCCGTCTCTCGGCCTCTCTCCTGGCCATTCACGCCAACCTTCCACCCTGCACGGCGTTCATCGTATACACGGGATCCGGCGATCCTCGCGAGATGAGCAGGCTCCAAGCAATGCATTCGCAATGGAAGCGGGAGTACAACACGCCTGGAAAGAAGTGGGATCAGCTATCTGTCAAGTGGACGGATGATGAGGAGCAAGCCCTTCGACGTGCAGTCAGGAAGGCCAGACAGAGCATTGGCTTCATTGGCGTGAAATGACCGGGCAATCGAGGATTAGGAATTGGTTTTGGGCGGGTCATGATGTCCATCGAACGCCCTGGGATCTGTACATGGATACTACTGTAACCCGACGCCAAAACACGGGACCCTTGAAAGGAACAGCACACACCTTGGCGGCTGCTGTGCTGGTCAATATTCGTAGATGATACCCCTATGTCTTGGTATAGAAAGGATACCCGCTTTTGGGAGGAGCCCGAGATCTCGGCTTCGAGCTAAAAGCAAAGAAACAAAAAGGACATAACCGTTTCGACGACCACATAGGATGATAACAATCTTCTTTACCGAATCCAGTTCGGTATACTAATGCCAATTTGAACCAGGCTGGCAGATCGCCAATGCTCGGATGTCATCCGGGAGGTGACTAACAACTGTTTCAGCTCACGGCTAAAGTGACATGCTTCTCCCCGTATCCATGTACAGCTCACATGCGCGCTTCGGAGTTACAAGCTTGGGCAGCCAGGGTCAGCGCCTCCCCCACTATCGGCTGCTCCCCAAAACATCCATTTGATTGGTTACCCCGCCTCCGGCTGCGGAGAAAGCTATCAACCGTTGCCGCGCCCAAAACCCCAGCCGGGCAGCCTCGGTATCTTTGGGAGACGCAACTGCTCAGCATAGCCCAAATTACAAACCAGTCCGTTTTCCTTACGAACCTTGCTTCTCTCACCAACGACGTGTCTCGCCCTTGGCTTTGATATTCCCGCGAACCTGATCACCGCATTTCGAACTGCGTGATTTGATCCAGACATTACTCATAGTCCCGAAGATCTTACATTCCCTAACGCTATCAGTGCGACCTGCGACCGTGGCGATGTCCTTTCTCGGTGGCGCAGAATGCTCAACTTCGGGCAACCCTCTCAGCCAGTTTCAGAAACACGTTCAGGATGACAATAGTCTACAGAGGGACAGACTGGTGCAGCGAGGTCCCAATGCTCTAGCCGGCGGCTTCAGAAGCGCTGGCGCAAGCACCCCGCAGGATGAGGTAGGTGCACCCTCGTAATCTTAGACATAGATGACCGTAAACTGACGGTATTTAGATGATGAATGGGTTCCTCAATAATGCACCTGGTCTTCAACAAGACCTTCCTATGCAGAACGGTGCAATCCGAATAGACCCTGCTCAAGGTGTACACCTTCGCGCGAACTCGACATCACCGACATGGGCAAACGACTTCCAGAATCAAGCCGCCATGGAATCGGCTTTCAACGCACCCCAAGGGACACAGTTCAGCCCTGAGGACTTTGCACGCTTCAGGCAGATGAATCAGCAGCCATCGTCTGCGAGAGCAAGCCCAATGCCCAGTCAGATGGCCCAGCAATCGAGAATAGGGATGGGAATGGGCATAGGCATGGGCATGGGATACAACAGCATGATGGGCCAGGGTATGTTCCAGCCCATGTACCAGCAGCCCATGCAACAACAGCCGCAGCACGAGGATGTTAAGGGCAAGGGAAAGCTTGTGGAACTGGACGACAACAAATGGGAAGAGCAATTCGCGCAGATGGAACTGCAGCAGAAGGAAGACGCCGAGGCGCAGGCTGCGGAGCCTGAGCTGGAGGAAATGGATCGGTCAATGCAAAGTGAGACAGGCTTCGGCGATTTCGAGTCAATATGGAGGGGAATACAGGCTGAAACTGCTGCAGCAAAAGGCATGGTCGACGACACGACATTCGACAAGTTCGACAGCGAAGACTGGGGTCCAGACTTCACCGGCATGAACGGCGATTGGGGCCGATTGGGCGATCCCGTGATCGAAAACTACCTTTTTGAGGAGGACAATTTTTTCAACGAGGAGAAGAACGCGTTTGAAGAGGGCGTACGCATCATGCGTGAGGGCGGAAACCTGTCGTTGGCAGCTCTAGCATTCGAGGCTGCCGTCCAGCAAAACCCAGAACATACAGAGGCTTGGGTGTACCTGGGCTCGGCGCAGGCACAGAACGAGAAGGAGACTGCGGCAATTCGTGCGCTAGAGCAAGCGCTCAAGCAAGATCCCAACAATCTGGCCGCTCTTATGGGTTTGGCTGTTTCTTACACCAATGAAGGATACGATAGTACCGCCTACCGGACACTCGAACGTTGGCTCTCAGTCAAATATCCAAACATCATCGCACCAACAGACCTGCACCCCATGGCCGAAATGGGATTCACAGACCGGCAACAACTGCACGACAAGGTAACGGGTCTATTCATCAAGGCTGCTCAACTCAGCCCGGATGGTGAACACATGGATCCTGATGTTCAGGTCGGTCTCGGCGTTCTGTTTTACGGTGCTGAAGAGTATGACAAGGCTGTTGACTGCTTCACGGCGGCTCTTCATTCGTCGGAACTTGGAACCTCAAACCAGCAAGAACAGCTCCATCTTCTCTGGAACCGCCTCGGTGCTACCCTCGCGAACTCCGGGCGCTCTGAGGAGGCTATCGCGGCGTACGAGAAGGCATTGAGCATTCATCCCAATTTTGTGCGTGCCCGTTACAACCTTGGCGTTAGCTGCATCAATATTGGATGTCACGCTGAGGCTGCTTCACACTTCCTCGCGGCGCTCAACATGCACAAGGCCATTGAGAAGAGCGGTCGTAATATGGCGTACGAGATCCTGGGCAGTGGCGACAGCTCGCGCGGTGGTACCAGTGCAGCTCAAATAGACGAGCAGATTGATCGCATGACAGCGCAAAATAGGAGCACGACGCTCTACGACACTCTGAGAAGGGTTTTCACGCAGATGGGACGCCGCGACTTGGCCGAGAAGACGGTTGCGGGTGTGGATCCTGAGATCTTCAGAGGCGAGTTCGACTTTTAGTTACCATTGTGAGGTACGAAGGAAAAGCGATGGACTTAACAAACATGTAGCTATGATGCGTGTGAGTTAGAAAGAATGAATGAAACGACGTCTATCATGAACATTTCGCTACACCTTGCAAATTTATATTGTTGCGGAGGTTTGCTAAATGGCGCGTTGAAGAGGAGCAAGCAGCAGGAGTGGTTCTGCCAGACCATGTAACACGGAAATCCCTGACCAGTCCATCCGTCTCAGTCCACGTCACGGCCTTCGGGGTCATTTTATTGTGGTCGGAACAGCCCCTGCACCTGCGCTGTTCCAGCTCAGGGCGGTGCCTTACAACAAACCGCTGCCGCTACACGGTACAACTATGGCGTTATCTGGCGGTTCATCTTTAGGGGCATGGTGTTTGTGCACAGGAGGTGACGAAATTCTGGGTTAAGATGGCCGATTTCCTGGTCATAGAAGGGCAGATTGAGAGGTCTACCGCAATTTACTGCGACAGAATGGAAGGAAGCTTGAATGATTAAATTATCGAAGTTGCATTCATGAGCGTTCGGACTTGCGTCTTGAATCAACCTGGAAGAAGACAAGTCGCACATATTTTAGTCTTGCGAAGGTATTCTAACAGCAATCCCACGCCCTGACATTGGAGCGTCAGGTAATATGTCGTGAAGTAAGAGCTTGTCCCAATATAACCAGGACCTCGGTGATGCCCTCTGAACTCCATATCACCTGCCTTCATTTCGCCGTAAGAGCCTGCTTGCCGGTGATAGTAATTGATATCAGATCTCTCACCTCCACGATGTTGAGGCTTCGAATACACATCTGATCCGCGAGCAAATCTGCATCCAAACACCAAAGAGCTCTAAAAAGAAACAAAAAAACAAGAAGGAATAAGCAAATGGTAGTAACTTGATAGAGACGCACGAGATTTCGATGCATTCCCCCCATGCGTATTATTCATCCCCACACTCTTTAACGGGCTCAGAAACAGACACGTCAGACACGTTAAACCTAAAAACAAAATAATAAAGCAGTTCAGACCGGCTTAGGAAAAGGATAAAACCAAAATATCTTAAAACTCCCCACTCTCCTTTACTTCCTGAAAGAAGTTCCTATGTTGTTCTCTTGTGACGCTGTCTACTTGCGTACTTAGGTGTCGGCGACTAGTTCTCCAGCTTCAAAGTGTTTGTCAAACACCACCTCAGTCAGAGCAGCATTTTCAATCATAGATGGTTATCTGGGGGAACAGCTCAAGCAAACAAGCTGAGTTCCCTAGAGGAAAAAAGCGGCCGGTTGGCCCAATGGCAAGGCGTCTGACTACGAATCAGGAGATTCTGGGTTCGACCCCCAGGCTGGTCACAATACTTTTGCCAACACGCGCAGGTTGACTGGTTATTTTTCCCCTTTCGTTTTTTCCCCCCCGCAAAATTTGTCAGTGGGTTGAGCCTGACGCACTAGTGGGGCTCTTCCGTGGTGGGCGTTAGACGGTACGACCTTGCTGCAGCGGGCCCTACCAAGCGTGGGACCAACCCGGCCTAGGACGGACGGGGAAGGCCTTCGACAAAAATGGCGTTGGTGATATGCACCCCCTCAGCGGGCAATTTTCTTGGCCGGCCCCGAGGGGGGCCGGGGGAGGGGGGTGAAGTGTCGCCAACACCATGGCATTGGAAGCCGGGGGTTGTTGAGGAAACAGAAGGGCGTGACGGCGACACCGGCGCACGGAGTCTTTCCCCTGGCTCACCCAAGAGGAAATATATTAAATGGGGGAAAGAGGGGGTGAAAGATGGAAGAAGATAAAAACAAAAACAAAATAACCGTCGAAACTGACTCGAGGTCGGACGGATGGGCCGAGAAGCTTTGTCCAGTATCTCCGTACGAAGTACTGTAGGCACTGAAGGAAGTGGACTCGCCAAGTGGCCCCGTATGCATCATGCCGAAAGACATGAGGAAAGAAGAGGATGGAGGTGGGAAGAAGAAGAAGACGGACGAGATGGATGGCCAGGTCTCGCGACCAGGGATCGATGAGCAACCGCAAAAATCTACACAGAAATGCAGAGGCCGCCCCGGCACGCATCTCAGGCCAGTGGCCGGTCGGTGGCAGGCCGGCGCTTCGGACGTGAACAGCAAGCAAGGTGCCGGCTTGGCTGGTTCGGCGCTTCGTTTTCTCCGCTCGGGCTTCAGGTGAAAGAACCAGGCCTGAGCATAACGGGATGAGAGAGAAAAGAGGCGTTGTACGGGCAACAAACGGCAAGAGCACGTGTCTGTAAAGGAGAGATTATACATTGTTCCTAGGTTCCTAACATGCATGAGAAGCCGTCATGTATGCAGAAAAGGCCATCATCATAGCCTTTTCTTTTTTACAAGTTTTCATATGATACAACGCCTTTTGCGGCATATCCCGGTATTGATTCCCTCTCCCTCTCCTCTCCGTGCGTTTTAATAGAGTTCCAGCAGCAACTTCCGTCTCACGCTGCCGTGTCGTCGTCTTGTTCGTCCATAGCACATCGTCCCTGCTTCTTCCATCTCACCACGAGGTCCGCCTGTGGCTTGTGAATAAACAGTGGAGTAGGAAAATAGATAATACAACGCGCCAGAAGAACCGTATTTAAAAAAAAAAAAACAGCCGTCGAGTCAACCTTCATTTCTTACACTCACTTGACTGGACCTTTTCTTTCTCCCGACTTTGCAGACTGGCAGAACTTAGGCGTTCCAGTTCATGTCCTGTTTGTCAGCCATGGGCTTCTGCTCCTTCTGCGCCTCTTCGGCCTGCTCGTGCTCCTCCTCCACGCGCTGCTCGACCTCCGCCTGCGAATTGTTCTTGTTACGCGACTGGCCCTTCTTCTGGGACATGCGATTAAGACGATCCGACTCCTTTTTAGACCCCGGCGCGAACGAAACCCTGAGTTCGCGGTTGCGGATCTGTGTACCCTGGAGCGCTTCCAGGGCAGCTGTTGCGGCGTCGACGTTTACGAAGTCAGCATGCGCGAAGCCGCGCGGCCAGCCCGTCGCGCGATCCACAGCGACGCGCACGTCCTTAATGCCCTCGAGCGTTGCGAACACACTGTTGAGATCCACGTCCGTCGACTCAAACGCGATGTTGCCGATGTACAGCGTGGCGGTGGGTGGGCCGGAGTAGGGCTCCGACCGGTGGCCGTTCTCTCGCTCGCCGCCGTGACTCTTGAATTTCTTGTGGCTGGCTGGCCGGAACTTGGCAACGATGCGGCGGCCGTGCCAGAAGGTCCCGTCGACGTTCTCGGCGGCCGTGATGACCGACTGGGCGTCCTTGTAATAGACGAAGCAGAAACTATACACGGATTGAACGATTAGGCTTTGCTCTGTAGGTCGTAACAATTCCATTTCCACCTTCTTCCGCATTGAAGAATGAAGAGCGACAATACAGATAGGACGTCGGGTGGAACGGGGATAAACTTACGTTTTCTTGGCCGGCATCGAAATGCCAACAACCTCGCCATACTTGGAAAAGGCCTCCTTCATTTCATCGGGCGTGACGTCGAAGGGATAGTTCTGGACGAAGAGGACGGTCTCATTGGGTACTTCCCTCTTGGGTTGTGCTTGGGCATCTTCCTCTGGTTGGGACTGCTGCTCGTCGCGGAACGCAACGGAGCGGGAAAACGCCCTTGGGGCGGCGACGGAGAAATATCTGGCAGAGACGGCGGCGGCGTTGAGGGCGCGCAGCGCGGAGGAGATGCTCTGCGACTTGGATCCAACAGCGGCGGCGGAGACTGAGCTGGTCAGGGTGGCGCGGGTGGCCGCGCGACGGATGGAATGCCTATCATTGGTGAATGGTCCTCGATTAGCTTCTGATCCAACCAATTCTATACCAGAAAGAAGAAAAAAACACATTGCATGAACACTCACATTATTCCGGTAGGTAAGGCGAGGAAGTTGCAATGGACTGATCCGGAGTGAAGAAAAGAAAGAAAGAGAGAATAACTTGACGGCCAAAGGTTCTGGTGTAGCCAGGTAGGTTGTAGATGAAGTCGTCCAGGAGAACAAGGAACAGAAATTTTGGAATGACCTTGTCAAGGGTTCCGACGTTTAGCAAGCGCTAGCCCCCATTGGGCATTAGCTCCCCGTCTCCGAGTCCCCCCACCACCTGGAGCCACAATCGCCTGCTCTGCCGAGAGCTTTCAACAGAGCTCATCAGAATTCAGGGAGTCGAAATTGCCTCGTCAATGGGATTCATATTGATCTGTAGATTTATTTATTATTCACCCATCACGACAGGCACGTCTGGGAGGGGAATTGCACTCCATCCTTAAGTCACACACTATACCGACTGACAGGAAGAAGGCCTTGGCTCGTGCCCTGCAAAACCAATCCAAGATCGCCTGTTCACTCCAAATTTTTTAATACCGCTTGTTCAGATGGAATGGACTTCAATCGAATTGCTCCCCTTCATAGGTCATTGATCCCGCTGTACGGATTCTCCCCAAAAGTTCCATTGTCTTCCCAACACATAGTAGACCATACCAAGCGTACTTTGCAGAAGCCGCTGCCTCGCCTCTTCCCCACGGACCATCGCGTGGGTATATACACCAGACAGTCAAACCCCGATCCCGCCATGGCCTTCTCTGTAATCCCATATCGAGCTTTGACTCCTCAAATACACAAGAAAGAACTCGCGCCATCCGACTTTTTTTATCCACTAACCAAGGACGAGGGTATAACGCCGTCCCTCCTTATCAGACTAACCAAAGGTGCAAGCCATTGGCGCACTGCTAGTATTGAAACAATCGATCAAGAAGAAAAGAAACATAAGAAACAAGCCGTCAAGGGGCATCCCGGTGCGCGATGCCTTCCGGTGTAGGTATAGAACTGTATCAGGACACGCAGACCCGCAATCCAGGCCGCGAATATGTTGCACAGGGTATTGATAGATAGGTTGGCCATCCAGGCCCGCAACTCGAATGATCATATGTCGAAAACGTTCCAAATCCACGGAACTCAGTATCTTTCAGCACGATACCCGTTAACCCTTGGGGCTTCATATTGAACACCTGTCATCGAGTCGGGTCCGTTGGGCATGGTGCCATTCAAGCCCCGAATAGGTGGCAGTTCGCGACGACCCGCATATGGATCTGTTTGGTAAGGAGCCGAGGGCGGAGGCGGAGGGGCGGCTTGCGGCGGAGCTGGAGCCTGGCCTGTCGGAGATTGCTGTAGCCGCATGTTATGCAACTCGTTCTGCATACGTTGAATATCGACACGCAGGTTGTGGTTATCCTGCCGAAGGCCATCGTTCTCCTGGGCCAGCGTCGTGTTCTGCGACTGTACGATCCGCATGACCTCGGCCATTCGTTGGTGCTCCGAGATGGCTATGCCGTGTCAGAATCGGGTCATAATCCCTCTGCTGGTAGGGGAACACAAAACAAACCTTTGGTAAGGATTTCCCACTTGGATGCTTTGGAGCCGCGCTCCTGTGGCATCAGGTCGCGTAGCTGATCAAATAGCTCCTTCATTTCTGTTCTTCTCTTTCGTTCCGCCAGCTTATGACTCTTGCGCAGTTCAGGTGTCCGGCTGTATGGCTGTGAGCCACTCCGTGAGGCCGCATCATCATCGCGCAGGTCCCCGATTTGCTTGTGTTGTAACGAATGATGGTGAACGGGAGGAAACTCGGCAGACGTGCTCGACAAACGGTTATTGAAGTCGGCAGGCTCGTCCAACCGCCTCTGACCGGGAGGTAGCCTTGATTCCGTTGTAAACTGGCTGCTGGCTATTGACTCGGCAATGCTGCTTCGCCTGGAGTTGAGGTACGTGTCATTGGGGCCGATCCGCTGTATGTCCTCCTCGGGAAACGCCCATGCCTGGCCCTTGGTGGGCTCCGCTGCTCTCGCAATATTACTTGTCGCGGGACCGGTGATGGCTGGAGCAGTGCGAACGATCTTGGGGTTCTCGGGGTTTCTGTCGTTGCTCGGCTGATATCCGTTGGAGATGCGGTGTACAGAAAGGTTTTCGAGGCCATTACGGGGGTTGCGTTGCTGGTTAAGGGTGTTCTGGATCGAGGTTGTAGATTGATTGTGGCTCGCGTAGGGGGAGTTCCCGCCCAACCTCATGTCATGAAAATTCTGGTTTATTCTGCTGTCGACGCTCTCTCTGCGAGACCCCGGGCCCATCATGTCGTGAGCCATACCGGAGTCCAATGACGTTGGGCGCTCGACTCGACGCGGGTCGGTACCGCCGACCGTTGTTGGCGACACCATCGAAGCAACGCTCATGTTGCTTTGGGCAGGGGACACCAGTGGCTGGGGGACCATGTTTGCGGTGACAGGTGAGGGTGTCTTGTCCGCTAGCGAAGATTGGTAGCCGGAGCCGGTGGGACTGAGGACATTGGTGCCCAT